AGTAGTGAGGGGAAGGCAGCAAGGGGGTTTCTGGGCTGCTGGAAATGTTCCACTATTTCATTATCTGGGTCCAGGTTATGTGGGTGTGTTCAGTTTCTTGGAATTCAGTGAACTGTATACTCATGATATGTACACTTTTCTGTATGTTATGATTGAATAAAACATTTTTAAAAAGTGAATAGAAAAAAAAAAGAATAAGAAATTCTCATCTGCCAATTCAATTTATGCCACATCAGAAACATGAAAGAACTGACAACATACAAATGTAACTAATAAATTTGTTAGTCAAATTTTTAAAGCATATACCCCTATATTAGAGATCAGTAATTATCAAGGGCTTGAAATGCTCTATACCCATAGTTCTTAGAATATAAGATATATGCAAATCCAGTTGTTTAATAAATATATGATCTTCTGTTTTCATTTCTGGAGAAAACATATTTTGTAAAAATAATAAGCTGCACTTGGTAGAGTACTACGACTTCCATTTGAAAAAAAAATAGTTTCTTCCTTAGTATTTCTCCCACTTTGAAGTATTTTCTTTAACAATATGTCCTAGTGATTTTTCCATCTCAGTGTTTATAGAGTGGCTGATTTTTCTTTTTAAAATAGGAGAAAAGTATTCCATTATAGACATGCAAAGTTTAATTAAAATTACCAACTAATTTCATTATTAAAAGAATGATATAAATTCAAAATATAAATTCAAAATTTTAATTATATAAACTATATGTTTTAAACATTATTAATATATATTAGAGCAATGTGACTGTTTGAAAAAATATATTCATGAGATCAACTTACAATTTTAAAGTTTTGCTTATTTAAAAACTAGAAAGATAAAAAAATTTATTGTGATTTATAATACTTTTTATATCACAGCCCATTACACACACACACACACACACACATACACACACACTCACAGAAGAAAGAAAAAATTTATGAAACAAAATGTGTCTTTTCCATTTGTGTTATGTCCTGATCTGTTCTATTCTTTTTCATTTTATTTTGTGTTTTTTAAATGATAGTCGTGTCCTACTAAACTGATTTTACAAATCACGAATGGTTTATAATTTGCAGTTTAAAAAATATTGCCCAAAAGTATATATCCTAGAGAATGTTAAAAATAAGTTCTTTGCTAAACTAAATTTGAAAAATATTGGCTTTAATGAAATTAAATACATTGCCCTAGTGAAATACTTCTCAGTGTTTACTGTACAAGTTACAAATTTCCAAAAGGACTTACCATAGGTTACTTTTGGTTATAACAGATTCCATCCTTTTTATTTTTTACTTTGCTCAAGTCATACATTTTTATATATAAACTTTGAATTTGTCAAACAAAATTGCTATAACTCTAAAAGCTTCAACTGTTTCATCCCACTGCCTTTTTTGTAACTAGGTCTCTTTTATTATAAATTGTACATTCACATATTCACATTACAAACTCATATTTACATCATAAATAAAGGCTTATTTTTAAAACCCTTTATTTAGATGGCAGCTATATTTACTGAGTCCTCTTGATGGTATTCTACACGTTGGTGAAACACTTATGTTGCTTTGAATCAATAAGTAGTAACCACTTATTTGTATAGCAACAAATAGGACTTTGGTATGTACCAGTAATTCAATATAGGATCTTTTTTTAAAAGATCAGAACTAGGCCGGGCGCGGTGGCTCATGCCTGTAATCCCAGCACTTTGGGAGGGCGAGGCAGGTGGATCACGAGGTCAAGAGATCGAGACCATCCTGGTCAACATGGTGAAACCCCATCTCTACTAAAAATACAAAAACTTAGCTGGGCATGGTGGTGCGTGCCTGTAATCCCAGCTACTCAGGAGGCTGAGGCAGCAGAATTGCCTGAACCCAGGAGGCAGAGGTTGCTGTGAGCTGAGATCAAACCATTGCACTCCAGCCTGGCTAACAAGAGTGAAACTCCATTGCACTCCAGCCTGGCTAACAAGAGTGAAACTCCATCTCAGAAAAAAAAAAAAAAAAAAAAAAAAAAAAAAGATCAGAACTAATATATATTGAATTCCTAGTATATACCAAAATCTTATTATTTACAGATGTTTTATTAATTTTTGCTGCATAACAAACCACTATAGACTAGTGATTTAAAATAACAATAATTTATCATTTCTCATCATTCTATGGGTTGGTAGGGCTGAGCTGCACAGTTCTTCTGTTGGTGTTTCTTGCAATCATGTGGGAGCAATCATTTGACAGCTCAACTGTGGCTGAAGAGTCTAAAATGACCTTGGTACACATTTGGGAACTTGACACTTCCTTTTAGTTGGATTTCTTTTTTCATGTGGTCTCAAAATTCAAGACCTCTGAGGTCAAGGCCTCAGACTTCTCAGTTGTGCCACACTGTACTGGCACCACAAATCAGGTCAGCCAGATTGATGAACTGGGGAAATAGATTCTACCTTTTGAAAAAAGGCCTGAAAATACCATGACTTTGTTTTCAATATACCACAGATGATTCGAGTTCTGTCGCCCAAGCTGGAGTGCAGTGGAATGATCACTGCAACCTCCGCCTCCTTGGTTCGAGCGATTCTCCTGCCTCAGCCTGGAATTACAGGCGCATGCCGCCATGCCCGGCTCATTTTTATATTTTTAGTTGTTAGTACAGACAGGATTTCACCAGTTTGGCCAGGCTGGTTTCAGACTCCTGGCACCAAGTGATCTGCCCACTTCGGCCTCCCAATGTGCTGGGATTACAGGTGTGAGCCACTACGTCCCACCTTCAATAGAGCACAGATGATTTCTATTAAAATCCTTACAAGAATGTTATAAATTATGTTAGAGGATAACTGAGAGCAGAAACATCAAAAGGAGTAAAAGGCATCTATTCTTGATGAGAAAGAAATGGTAGCTTATACAATGTATAATATGGAGTAAACGATTGATGATAGTCTGTGCTTGGCTTTACTCAAGAAATTTGGTTCATTTAAAAAATTGTTTAAGGACAGTTATGACTCATTTTTGTGGGAGTCAGTGCAGTGGAGTAGAAAAAGCAGAAGTTATACAGTTGTAGAACCTGGGTGTGAATTCTGGCTCTCTCAATTGGTTATGTGGTCCATGGCTAGCATAACACAATCAAAGTTTCTTTAAAAGTATTTATGTTACTGGTGGCAGTTATCTATATGGGTCTGCAGCAACCTCAATTCTTGCCTCCTCTGAAGGAAGGATTCAACTAAGGGTCATAAGGCAGAAGGAGAGACTGAGGTAAATTTTAGAGCAGGAGTGAAAGTTTATTAAAAAGCTTTAGAACAGTAATCAAAGGAAGGAAAATACACTTGGAAGAGGGCCAAGCAGATGCCTTGAGAAACCAATTTTATGGCTTAAGATTTTATATGTTGGCATACTTCTAGGGTCTTGTGTTCCTTCTCCCCACTGCTAAGATCCTAATGGGAAGCTACTCGTCAGGTGTTTTCTATCTATTATAAGTGTGTCTTTCACTGGCACTGGCTGTGACCAATTATTACTTAAGAGAGTTAACAATTGGCTGGCCATCACCTGGTCTCCCAACACCCCTGGTAGTGTATAGTGGGAGCCGTCTCCTGCCCTGCTTGTGCCTGACCAGCTATCTACAGTAACATTCAGGTAATGATAAAGGAAATAATTTCAGAATTGTTTGGGCATTCAAGAAATAATCTCCTTTGTCTTTTTCTCTATCTCTTTGGAATTTGTTAGAATCTAAACAAAGCGAAGTAAAAACATTCTAAACTCCATTTTACTTTCTACCTAGACTTTTCCACTGACTGACAATATAAGGAAAGATGACTATATGATACATTTTACTTTTCTTCATTGATTTAAAGTGTCATCATAGAAGGAAAAGAGATAAACGCTTAACTTTAATTTTCAAAATTAGAAGAAAAGCGTGATTTAAAAACAAATGACTTATAAATGAGTTAAAGTGTATGTGTATATATGTGTTGGGGAATGGGAATTATATAATTGCATTGTAAGTGCTTTGGACAATAGAAACACCAAGTAAGTAAAAAAGAAAAAGCCACATAGTTTAAACGGCAACTTGTATTTGCAGCAAACCTCTAGAGGAAGCCTAGGAGATATACACCTAGCATGTGAAACCATTAGTCCTGATGACACAACACCAGCACTCTAATTGGGTGATATGGAAAGGAACACATTGGGACTTATGTTTTTATATTATCTAATCAGAAAAATTTAGAGCACCCAAATTTGGAGTAAAGAAAGAAGGCTTTAGGTAGATATCAGGGTGCCTCGAAGGTAGAAGACAGTTGCCTGGGTTATCTTTTGAGGTACTGAGTCATGATTTTTGTAAAGGAAAGTTTTGAAGTATGATAGTCTTGTCTTTCCAAGTGTTTTCTTCTAGTTTCTGCTAGGCCTTCACTCTGTATAAAACTCAGAGGTTTTTGTGTTTTGTGTGTGTGTTGCGGGGGAAGGGGTCCTACAAACAAAAATAAAGCAGTAAGTTTGTGTTGGGGGAGTCTAATAAATATTTCGATCAATATTAAAAAATCTTCTTCCAGAACACTGAGACAGGCAGAAACCGTGGGGAGGGCAGAGGCAGTAGCAGGTCACTCTTCCAGATGGCGATGGGCAGCATCCCTCTGTTGACTCCTAGATGCATTAAATGGGACAGTGCCAGGCCACTAGGAGGCAGAGAGGGAATAATAATCGAAAGAACACTGTTGCAGGAGACTGTCGGAAGTTAAAGGAGCCTAGAAAGCACAAAAGCTGCTCTGGTTGCCTTAATTTATTATATTTCCTACTCCCATGTCCAAGGTCAATATGGACAAGGCAACCCCAGTATTACTCTTTTTATGTCCCAAAACACCTCTCAGAAAATATTTTGAAGTTTCCTAAATTCAAAGATAAACAAACGTATTAAACAATTACTAGGGATCTCAATGGGACACCTCATTGCAGATAGGCAATGAAGGTAATCTTATTTTTAAAAACATGAATAGGAGCTATAGTATCTTTACATAGTTGCTTCCTTTTATTCTGGCAATAGCCACAGACACAAAATTGTTATAGCCTTATCTTCCATTTTCACTCTTAGCTGTTACAAAACTATGGTTTGCATTATATTTAGGTAAATAATATTGATACCCTTTTATTAAATTTGTCTTGTTCTTTTTGCTTTTTTGGACCTCTTTTGAAATACATCTTATGCATCATGTCCAGTAATACCGGGAGTTGTACTTTCCATGATTCTTTGCCATTGCATGATGAAATGTTCTATTTATATTAAAATGAAGGTACTCCTAGGGGAGACATAGAGCAGAATGAAACAACAAACAGAGCTTTAGAGACTAAATATGTGAAGTGACAGTGATGGCAGAATGGTATCTCTAGTTACTTAGTGGCCCAGAGGACTTCAGAAAGACTTATAGTGCAAGCCACAGTGGCTTGAACCTGGCAGCTCCCCTAGGTTTAAGTACTCACAGTACAGCAGCTAATCAAATAATTTCTCCTCTTGCACATCTTGACTTGGTAGGCCATTGTAATAATATGTAGCTGGCTGAGGGTCAGGGGATTTTTTTCCCCCTTTTGCTAACCAAATGAAGCATTTTGTCAAATGATCAAATTTCTTCATAGCAATATTATGATTGCAATGATCTGTGTACTCCAGGTAATGAGAGGATAAGTCATGAAAATCACATTAACTTTACTGTGATATTACACCAGCCTTGAAAAGAAAGAAAAGAGGTACAATATTAATTGAGATACTAAAGTTCTTTCCTTTATGTCTTATTTTTACGGTAATGGAATAGAGGAGAGTAAGAGGAAGTGAGCACAGGGATTCCTTGGGATCCTTGCGGCCATTCAACCATTTGTCCAGACTAAGGAACAGTCAATGAATAATGTGGGAGAAAGGTCTGGGGTTTCCCTTTAGCTTTTTTACTCTTTGGATACATAGTCTCATGGAAGTGATTTTACATCTTTTGGATGCAAATTCATTATCTAAACATCATATTGGATTAAGTGATCTTTTAAGTTTCCTTCCAAAACTCAAACCTATTATTCTTACTGGAATTTGCATTGAGCAAAAATTCAAAAAATTATTTATCAATAGAGCACTAAATCATTCCCTGACTGATGGTTTTATTAAGATTTTTTTACCTTCAAGTGATGCATCATTATATGAGCTAAAACACATTTCCAGACTAGAAGTTCATGGCCTCAGTTGTCTATGTATTGGACAGAGTTTCTGAGAATTTTGGACCAGGACATGAGCTCTGCAACAGTTAATCTTTTGTTCAGGTATAGTTTCTTCTCTGGCTTCTCTTTAATTTTTTGTAAGAGATGGAAAATCCTCTACCAGATCAACTGTCAGTTAAAATGTGTAAGTCCATATTTAACTGAAAGTATAAATAATCTACATTCTGAGTGGTTGCCAAAGAGCGTAATTTTAAACTCTTTGCTTCTCAAAATCTATCAAAAGATCTGCAGACAGAAACAATATATAGAAAAGATTGCTTGAAAGATAAAATCCATCCATTATTCCAGACACTTTAAAATCTACCCTTGGATTTGGTCAAATCAGAAGACAGCTGCATACCTGGATGGTATTGTGTTGACCCCTATGGGACTGCCTTTACTGAAATGTTGTTTTAGAGTGATGCTAACAATATTATGAAACTTGTCATTGTGTCTACTCTAACAGTGTGGTTGAAGATGTAAGCCAGTATATTACGTGGTGCTGGTTTCATGAGAACCATGGGGAGAGATTTCTGTCGGATATTAGTAACAGCGATAATTTTGTTTGTCCTAACAACTGTTCTGATTTTATCTTATATACCTTGTAAATTGTGTAACTGACCAGAATTCTATTTTCCCACCCACTGTTAAAAATCTTAGGATCAGATTTTCATCTTACTAGTAGCAAGTTTTTGATATCATTTTGTTTTTTTAGAGGTCTCATTTCTGGCTGCTCTGTCTTATCCTACCAATATTTTCTTTTCACTTTATTTCCTATGCTTTTAATTCAAAATTTCTCTTTATTTTTTCTTTTAATCTGACAAATTATTTCTGTACCTAGGTGAGGTATGTATCTGCTTATTTATATATTGCTTTTTCTCTACCTTGTTTCAAAAAGGATTTAAAAGTTTTACCAGATTTACGCAATTATACTTAGAATACACAAACCAGTAAATCGAAAAACAAAGTGAAAATTAAGGTGTATCTACTTGATTTATAGCTTAGTCTTTTTGGGTTGCTATAACAAAATACCTTAAACTGGGTAATTTATAAACAACGGAAATTTAGTGATCACCGTTACGGAGGCTGGGAAGTCCTAGATCAAGGCGTAAGAAGATTCCCTCTCTGGTGAGAGACCATTTATCATAGATGGCACCTAGTGTCTTCATAAGGTAAAAAAAAAGGCACAACAGGCTCCCTCAAGCCTTTTTTATAAGGGCACAGATCCCATTAGAGTAGCCGTATTCATAACCCATGTGCCTCCATTTGGAGGTCTCTTTATCGGGGCTTTCAGCTAAGGTCTTCCTCAGGTACCTCTACTGAGACCTACCTTTAGAAGGAGGGTGGCACTTTGAAGACAATTTTCCCCACTCACACTCAGTACTTTTCCACCCCTAGTTCTTTCTCTCCTTTACTCCCCTACCCAATCCAGGTCCATCAAATGCAGGTGGCTTTTTGGGAGGCTCTGTCTACAGGTATTTCACATTAAATGCAAATTGGAGGAGCCAGTACTTTTACGTATTTATTTAGCCTCTTGTTACTATCATAGAAAGTAATTAAAGGCTTGACTATTATTTTAATTTTGGCTTGTTGTCTTAATAGACTACTCTGAGCTCAGCTCTATCTAGCTGAACTCAGCTCTCAACAAACCCTTGATTTCATGTTTGGTCCCAAGAATTATTTTACTTTGAGAATTTTTGCCAACTGGAGAGACTGGGACTGAGAATCTGTTTTATATTCTAGCTCAGCAAACCCTGGCCTTTTATATCTTTCTTGTAGACTAAACAACTCTTTCTTCATCTTGTCTCTCTTTTCTTATACCTTATCATATTTAGCTAAGAGAAGCCACTTGGCACTTCCAAAATTCTCTGTAAAGATGTCCTAACTGTAAAATGAGTCATAAGCCATAAGTTTCTTAGGTACATTTCCCATCTTCCAAATTATTGCAGGTGACAGTTTTGCAATTGTTCTGTGCTATATGCCACAGGTCACTCATTCTCCAGCCTCCAAAAGTCCTTTTCCATCTTTCTACCTAACACCAGCTGCTCAGTCAAAGCTAATGCTACGTATTTAAAATTCTGCAAGACAGTATCCTACTTTCAGTACAAATTTACCTCTCAGTTAAATATGGCTGCAGAATACACTGTACCAAAACTTAGCAACTTAAATAATTAGAATTTATTATTTCTTTGGATTCCGTAGGTTGCTGAATGATTTCTTTTATCCTCACTCATGTGACTGCATTTAGCTGCAGGTTGGTTGCATTGGAAGGTTCAAAATGGCTTCACTCATTGTATTAATCTCTTCTCATGCTGCTAATAAATACTGGAGACTGGGTAATTTACAATGGAAAGAGGTTTAATTGACTCACAGTTACACATGACTGGGGAGGCCTCACAATCATGGTAGAAGGCAAGGAAAAGCAAAGTCACCTCTTATATGGTGGTAGGCAAGAGAGTTTGTGCAGGGGAGCTCCCATTTATAAAAGGATCAGAAATCACGGGATTTATTCATTACCACAAGAATAGTATGCGGCAAACCACCCCATGATTCAGTTATCTCCACCTGGTCCCACCTTTGACCTAGGGGGATTATTACAATTCAAGGTGAGGTTTGGATGGGGACACAGCCAAACTATCACTCATGTTCAGCAGTTGGTGCTATAAATCTGGGATGCCCCAGTTCTTCTTCATATAGCCTTTTGTCTTCCAGGAGGCTACCTTGACCTCCTTCATGGAAGTTTCAGGGCAATTCCCAAGAAGAAGAAAGTAAAAACTTCAAAACCTCTTGAGGTTGAGCCTTTGGAATTTATACAGTGCCTTTACTGTTGTGGTTTACTGTGATGCAGTTCATAAGACCAACCCAGATTCAGATGGCAGGGAAATGAAGGCCACCTCATTAAGAAGAGCTGCAAAATATTTGTGACCACATTTAACATGCCATATTGGTGACCATATTTAACACACAATATTCCTCACAAAAATAAGGGTATTTTTGTCCTAACCAGGTATGTGCCCTGAAGAACTTGCTTCCTATGTGGTCATAGCTACCTTACCAAAAGTTGCAACAATCTGCTTCTCCAAGTTCAGCTCTGAAATCTTGCTTCCATCACTAGATTTGAACCTTAGCTCTGGTCTTTTGTGCACAGGATTCCTACTACCTTTTTATTTTGCCTCTCTATGTAGTACCTTCTTGTTGATGGCTTATTATTTTGTCTGTCTCATAAACAGTTTTCTTATGGAATGCTGAATGTTGAACTGCATGCACTGATGCCACAGACTAGTGGGTCTCTATACCAGTCCAGTGTCTTGAAAATCCTATCTGAATATTATCATCCATTCCCAGATTTGTCAAAGTTGAGTCACTCACTGCTGGTCTTTCAAGAATGTGCCCTGATAACTCACAATTTACAACATTTTTAGTTCTCAGTTCAGAAAACTCAGAAGAAAATAAAGCCTTAATTTTAACAGAGCATAACTTTTGTTCTACTGTAAATGATAACCATTTTTCTCAGTAATAACTTGAAGAAAGACCTATTAAAATATCTGTATATTAATACATTTTGATAAGACAGATTTTTGTGAAAAGGGGTGGGACAGACTTTAAAGAACACCAATATCTAGGAAAATCAGGAAAAAAATTTGGCATGAGTAGAAGCTAATGTTATAAAAGACAAAATATGTAACATAGTATGAAGGACATGCATTTTGTAGTTAAACATAATCTTGCCAAATTCATTCTATCAAAAGGAAACAAACTATTGGTATTAATTTATGAATATTTTATGCCTCTACAAAAATTAGAATGAAAAAATTGAGAGGATTCATGGAGGTGAGAGAACCTAGGTAAAATTAATTGCTTCCATCATAGTATAAATAGAAAAGGGCTCCATATAAGCAGTGAGACTTCTGAGTGAGGAAAATGTCATTTTATTAGAGCTGAAATATCTGAAGAAAGAGTTAGCATGGCTTATCCTGGCCTCGATTAAGCCCAAAGCAAACCTTCCAACTGTTGTTGAATTACAAGTTTAAAAATCTTCAGAAAGTTTCTTTTAAGTACATATCTTAACTAAATTTAAGTTTGTATGAAAAAGGTACAGGTTAAGAAACTACTTTCCCATAATATAAGGACATATACTAAATTTGATATTTAAATAAACACCATAGTGTTCGATGGAGACATACTGATGAATTAAACCTCTTATTTACATTTTTAGTTATTTGACATGAATGTAAGATTGTAAGTATGAATATACTGTAGTGTTTATGAAGATTATTATGTTCCTTTCAAAATGTTCTCATAATATGCTAATTATACAAATCCATTTACGCAAAAACTTAGCAAATAAATTATCAACATATTATTTGCTTGTTAGTATATATTTTCAAGCTAATAAAATTCACTTTAATTTTGTTTCTTTAAGATCTATCCTTTCCTATTGCTTCACATGTGATATCAACTCAAAAATTATTTACATAGGTTTTACTTTCAGATACATATCAATGTCTTCTTCATTTCTCTGTCACGTACACGTTTGTTTTAATTTACTTTACATAGACACATAATCAACCTACCATTATACATTGGGGTTTTTTTTTAAGAAGTTTTCCAGCATATTACGTCTGTATTACCTCACACTCAACACATTCAGAGGATTGCATATCAAGCTGGGACTTCTAAATACTTCTTATTACTGTGGTTATCTGATGCAAAAGTAAATAAAAGTGTTGGATTACTTTTTGCTCCATGTTTATACTCTTCCATTGAACCTGCAGTGCTTAGAATTACTACATTCAGCTGAGTATCTTTAAATAGACATATAACTAAATGAAACACAACTATTTGTTTAGCAAAAGAGAAAAAAGAAAAGTACCAGTAACAAGCAATATACAACTTGAGCCTACTTATGCATTGTCATATGGTAATCCCATTCCTTATAATGCAGGTCTCCTCCATGACCTTGAATTGGGGTAGAAAAAGTGGTTAGAGATCCCTTTTGAAATTGCCACCTTCAGAAAGATGGGGAAAGCTGAATTTTTTTTCCCATCATCTCTCCCTCTCTTTTATAGGCATTTCAGTAAAAACTTACAGTAGATTATGACTGCTAGTTTTCATTATTTATGCTACAACTGTATATCTGGAAAGAATTTTCTATAAACCATTTTTAGGAATATGGTGCTTATATTGAGAAAATGCTATATAACCTAATAGTAATTGAAATCTATATATGAGAGAGAGAGAATGAGGGAGGTAGGTGGGTAGATTAGCATATTGCAGGATAGTAGAACATTATAAAGATAAGACTTATAAATTTAACACAGTCAATACTGGAAGTGTCATTATAACAAAAAGTGTTCAGGAAAAGGTTCATATTCAGTTTTACCCTTAGTTACTTTTGTTCCCCTTCACAGAGCAGGAAATGATGTTCTTTCTGTAGTCCAAGAAACTCTATGCATAAAATTGCAGGTCAGAAAATGCTAGTTGCTAGCTCTCTTTCCACTAACTCACTTATAACCTCTGGGAACTCTCTTAACCTCATCTGTAAAATGGGGTGATAAAGCTTGACCTGTTTTATTGGCTGCTGGGAGGTTAGGCAGTAAATGTTTAAAACGCACTTTAAAAACACAAGTGAGAAACAAACAAAAAAAAAAGGTCATTTAGATGACAGCAGAAATGCACACAGTATTTGAGGTGAACCAAGTTAAACAAATGTGCAGGCAAGACCCCCGAGTAAGAGACATGTGGTGGGTGATTCATGTTGTCTGTCTTCAGTGGTAACAGCTTGTTGTTGAAGCACTTGATAAGACATTAACAGAAAAAGATTGTTTGACTATTCCCAGGGAACTTTAATTTTATTATTAGTGGGTCTAAGCAAAAAAATTAGCGATATAAACACTTTTGAAAAATACAAATGCAAAGAGAGCTAAGGCAGAAAGGGAGAGATCTCAGAGACAAAAACACTGCATTTTTCCACCCAAATGAGAGGGTTTGAGAGTTGCTTGTAAGTCATAATGATGAATATCAACATGGTTCATTAAGAAGGAAACAATGTGAGAAAAGACATACCTGTCCTGGAGCCCTTCACTCAAATCAAGAATGGCTAATTGAAATAAATTCACTGAGGGCAGAGATAGGCAGAGATACCCATTAGCATGGCTTGCAATTTTCTGTTGAAAGTTGGACATGATGTATCAGGAAAGAGGAACAGAGGCAGATAGGCCTTTAGTGTGAGGTTGATGATTATCTGGTTAGAATTTAGACTCTAGTGTTTACTATTTGCTGTCATCATGGTGTCATAAGCTAAAGCTTTCTAGAATGTCCTTGTTTTGTCTCTTTTGTTGTCCTTGGGTTTCCCTAGAGACTCCTTAATTAGAGGCTGAGGCTTATACTTCTTTTAACTTTAATCATCTACGATTCTACAGGAGTTCTATTGATGTGGTGGTGAGGCATGGGGGAGAGGAAACAGTCTATAATTCTCTGATTAGATTTCAGTCTTAGTTTTTTACCCAGTATCTAAGATGGGTATTTCATTTGCTTCACATTGAAGGCTAGAAGGAGCTACAATTGGGTATTTTCTTTTCCTCCACCAGGGTACTAATTAATTTTTAGTGTCAACTTGACTACATTAAGAGATTCCTGGATAGCTAGTAAAATGTTATTTCTGGGTGTGTCTGGGAGGGTGTTTCTGGAAGAGATTAGCATTTGAATCAGTAGATGAGTAGAGGAGATTCGGTTTTACCAATGTGGGCAGCCATCCAGCCCCATAAGAGCTCAAGCAGAACAAAAAGGCAGAGGAAGGGCAAATTTTCTCTCTCCTAGAACTGGGATAGTTACCTTCTCTTGCCCTTGAACATCAGAACCCCAGATTGCCAGGCCTTTGGATTTCAGAACTCATACCAGCAGCCCATCTTCCCCAGATTCTCAGAATTACAAGTCTGCTTCTGAGGCCTTTGGACTCAAACTGAATTAGACAACAAGTTTCCTTCATGGTGCAGCTTGCAGACAGCATATTGTGGAACTTCTTGGCCTTCATAATCATGGGAACCAATTCTCATAATAAATCTCCTGGAGAACTCTGACTAATACTTTAGAACTTCTAGTCTTTGGTGAAACTCCAGTTGCTTAGGCTCTGGTAAAAGTTTCTCTTGAGTGCAAGCCTTGTTAAGAATAACAGGAGGTTCTGCACATATTTCAAAATGGTGACTTTTCTCTTCTCCCTGCTAGAATTAGGAGGAGAATTTTCTCTGTTATTTAGAGTATAAGGGTTTGTATTATCTTTCTTCAACTTGTAAACTTACAATGTGGTAAAGCAGAAATAATTCTATAAACATATGACATTTTAAAAATTTCTTTTTGATAATAGTTCTTTTAACTCTTAGATGGAAAGTCCATGTTTCTTAAAATCCGTGACCTTCTTGAAAGAGAGGGGGTCCTATGAGTCACAAATTACACTTTAATAGGAGAAGCAAGGATACTGTAAATAGCTTAGACATTCTATTCTATAAAGATGCTCCATGATTTAGGAGGGGGTTACATCCCAATAAATCCATCGCAAGGTAAAAATATTGTAATTTAAAATGGGCATTTTGTAGACACGATGAGATGCAAAATCACAAGTAACTCAAGAAGGTGGCACATAATGCGTGTAGACTATTTGTTGTTTACACTCATGACCACGTGGCTGGCAGGGAGCTGTACCTTGCCACTGCTGCCCAGCATCTTCGAAGTGTTGTGCTGCATATTGCATATTGCTAGCCTAGGAAAAGATCAAAATTCAAAGTAAGGATTCTACTGAATGCAAATCACTTTTGCACCATTATAAAGTTAAAAAATTCTAATTCAAACCATCACAAAGTTAGGGACTGTCTGTAAATCATCTAAAGGGTATTCATGATTTAGTTTTGGATAACAAAGGACAATTTTAAATAGTCTTTCTTCAATTAAAAAATAGAACCATTTCAAGGCACTGGAGATTGATATTTTAGTTTTAGAAATTTGAAGCATTATTCTTTCAAGTCTCTATCTGTAAAGATATAAAATAGAGAGAGATCAACTTTAATTAAGCTCTTGTCTATATAATTCCCTTACAGATAAAAAAAAAAAAAATCACAGGAGTTTTTAGTTGTTGGTTGTTGAATATATTATGTAAAGTAAAATCCTTTGCTTTTTTAATTAGATTATTTTATGATGTTACACAATTTGGAATTAGTGAAGACCAAGAGTTATTTAAATTATAACTTAGGGAAATCAGTTCTCTGTGTAAGCATTAGAAAAAACTAATAATAAGGTAGAAATCTGTTTAAAGATAAATGTTAAAGGAAATATATTTGCTTTATATTCAATACTGAATCCAATTATAATCTGACAGCTCTTTCATGGGAAGAACTGTGCATTAAAATAGTTGGACCTCCAAACATAATGTAGAATACAGTAAAACTAGCTTTTAGTAGGTAATAAAAATATGTAGCTGTTCAAATTTTAGGATTTTCAGGGTCCAGACTTATGTGTTTAACACTTTTTTCTTGTCTTTTCAGTAGCTTATTAGCCCAAATAGTTATTACTAAATTTATTCTTCTTTTTCTAACAAAATAAGTCTCAAATCATCGGATACATATAATACTGCATTATGTAAATTATGATGAGGATAAGTGCTAATTTTTTCCAAATTATGCATCAATAAGGCATGCAATATGTGATCAGCAGTTCCACAAATAAAAATATACAACCAAGTTATGGCAAATTAAAAGGCTGTGGCATTAACGTGGGGCCTAGGGGAAGTGGGAGAGATGTGTTCCTACTGAGGGTGTTTACTACAGTTTAATCTGTTTTGATTGTGAACGGTGTACACAGAAGCAGAGTAGTATCTGACTTCCAAAAATTATAAGCTGCATGTTGACAGTTGCCTACTTAGCATTTGTCACTCAAGCTTCTTTTTCTACTGCTATGAATTAGATTATAGAACTGTACAAAAAGAGAGCTGATTCTTTAAAGGCACCACAGTGAAGAAAATATCTACATCTTGCTTTTGTAAACATGCATTTTGCCTTTGCATTTTGCATCGTATTAACAAAGGTCTATGATGTCTCAGAATTTTCTCTCTTAATATTGAAAAGTTAATTAAAAGAAGTGGAGGAATGGGATGAAGCGTTTCTAATAACAAGTCAAATTCATCTGAACAGTAAAAATAATTGCTGTAAGAAATTAAGGTGCAAGCACATGCCTGCTGTAATTGCTGCGTACTTATTAGGAGCTCTTCTTTTGCAACCTCTCTCGGTATTTGGGGCCCGTGATAATGTGAATACTTAAGGGAAAAGCGTGATTAGGGATGGTGTTGTTCATTCAGTAAACATTTCTTAGTGTTTGATGTGACTGAACTGAGCGTCACATATGATTTTACACTTTTATCCTTTCAGGCAACTGACAGGTCTCTAATCTCCATCTCAGAACCTTCACTCGGCTTGAACTTTGGCTCATAAAGGTCATTTCTGAACCACTTGGGACAAAGAGCCACGTCCATGAAATCCCACAGAGTCAATAGATGCAATAATAGCTTTAGGCACATTTTCTTGAGACCCAAGGGGAAAGGCAATTTCAATAAATGTAAACTATGCCATCTACAATCTACACAATATCTTAGAAAATCTCACGGGAATAAATCTCTTTTCCTCCAGGCAAGAACATCCCTCACAATAATGATGCAAACTCTTATTAAGAGTATAAGATACTAACTACGCCCAAACAAAATGCAACACACACACACACACACACACACACACAACGTGCACACAATTAGCTTCAAACACAAAAGGAACATTCATAATTTGATACACTGTCCTTCTCTTGCAATAGCTTGTAAAGTATGTTCTTAATATTTAGACCTTAAATTGTGAAAAGGGCTACAAATGTATGAAAATGGATGAAGTAATAATTGGAAGATGACTTAGGTATATAATTCAATTATGGAATGATTTAAATGTAGTTTCTTTATTTTCTTCCAAATCTTAGTCTCCAGCTAGTCTTAAAAAAGACAAAAAGAAAAGAACTCACAGGTTAGATATGTCAGGATAATTAACAGAAGGATCCTCAGCAGCAGATGTCTGAGATAAGTAGTAAAGGGCATTCTCTTCCCTTGACATGCCATCAAAGGGAAAAACGACTATTTAAATGAAAGAAGTGAAAACTATATGGGTTTATACTTTAAATAATTAACAAAGATATGTTTACATAATTGTTTAAATCTAGAGAACAATTAAGAGACTTTGGGACAATTTTAATATTAATTTTCTTTGCTTGCCACAAATTTTAGCATTGTCTTTGATTTTTTTTCTTTCCTTGATAAATTTTATGATGTAAAGGAATACTTCTTGAAAGTAATGTATCCCCTCCAGCAAAATATTTTACTCAATTTGCCTCAGAGAATTCTGCTGGCAAAACAATAAGAAAAAAATGCTCCAGAAAAACTTCAAATTCAACAGTTTAAAAGTTTTTTTTTAAATGATCTTTTTAAATAAAACTGTTCAACAGGTCAAAATGAATCTGAAACTCCAATTTTTATTTTAATGTTGTTTAAATCTAATCTTAATATTTTAAGTGAGTGCCTTTTTCCTCTTTTTAATTTATTTCATAATAGTATGAATGCAACCAATCATAAATCTATCCTACAAAATAGATCATGTTAGAAAAGCTTTGTTTACTTTTAAAAGGTCTCCTGAATTGTAACTGGTGCCAACAGAGAAATTCTTCTAAACGTAGTATAGGTATTTTACTCTACTCTTAATCAGAAAGTGATGGAGGCCAATGCAAATAGCTCACCTGATTCTGCAAAACTCATAATAAGAAATGATGAAGCATCTGGCAGACAGGGAAAGGTCAAAGAAGAAATGGAAAGTATATCAGTCCCTTTAGCAAAGATTTACAGGTTGGCAAAGATTGTTGTTGCTTCAGGAAATCCTCATCTTTCATTTTCAAAGTAAGAATATATATTCTTCCATGTGTTCAGTGTTGCCTTTAGAGTGGAATTGGTTCTTAGGACCAATAGTAAAGCATGTTCTTTGTTCCTTTTTCCCTCAGAAATAGTTTAGAGTAGTGGTTCTCAAACTTTGCTTTTTATTAAAATCACCAAGTATCTTAGACCACTTATGCTGCTATAACAAAATATCTGATAATGAGTAATTTATAAGGAACATATATTTATTTTCTTATATTTCTGGAGGCCAAGAAATCCAAGATCCAGGCATTGGTAGGTTTCGTTCTCTGGTGAGAAGTACTCTCTTCTT